TGTCATAGCTGCACACCCTTCTAGTTGCTGTATGTGGGACTCGGCCCCAGGATGGACAGAGAAGTGGTGCCTCAACGCGCACCCAGGATCCGAACCCGGGCCGCCAGCATCACAGCATGCACACTTAACCACCAAGCCACAGGGCCGGCCCCATGTGAATCTTAAAATTGTGTTTTCCTCTTTGCTTTGGCCACTAGGAAGCTCAGAGCCCAAATTGTGATTTATCTCTAGCAAATAAAAAATAGTATTCATTTCCATTTAATGATGAAAGTATTATCTAGCATTTTTTCAATGCCTGCCTAATTAAATAGACCCAACACTATTTATTCTAAGCACTTTACTTTTTTATTCTTTTAATCTTCCCAGCAGCAGAATGAGATAGATACTATTATCCATTTAAAAGACAAGGATACTGAGGCACCTTATGTCTGGCTTTAGTCTATTTCTATACTCCTTTTCCCCTTTGCTTGGTTTTCTTATCTCTTTATTTTATCCCTTTTCAGAGTAGATATTTTGGTAAGCTACCTCAAATTTCTTTCAGAACTAGGTGAAGTGTAAGAAACAAACTAAAACATATATTTATAATCAGATTAGTTTAAATTCTTTGGTTGCATGTGAAGTTTCTGATCAAATTTATATATTGGAATCTGGTTTGGGTATTGCATGTTTAAATCAAGTCATTAATGAAGAATGAAATGTTTTGAATAAGCAAATGAATTCAGTAAGCAAATTTATTCGTTATTCATTGAATAATGGTAAACGTGTCATTTGTTCCCCAGAAAACCCAAGAATGAAAGTGAAAACCAAGTTGTTTCCCCCGTCTGTGCCATCCGATATTGTGGACAGTGTAGATAAGTCTTCCCTCGCTCTCGTCCTCAGAGATCCTATTGCCGTCTGGGTGTCTTGTGGGGAACCATTTCTATCTCCGAGCGGTAAGTTTTTTGTTTTTGCTTTCTTTCAAGCAAGTGTAGGAAGGGAGAGAGAAACAAATTTTATGTCGCTGTAAGAAAATGAATTAAGTGTGTGTAATGTCAACATAACAACATCACATTTATGCAAAACACAGGGGCCCCCCGATTACCCCGCACACAAGGACAGCCGTGCTCCTGTGTTTGCACAAGTGCCTGCTCCTTTTTCCTGGAATGGAGTATTCTGCATGGGAAATGTCTAATTTAGTTGATAAAGAGATCCTTGGTCTCTAAGACTGAGAATAATGATATACATTAGAAAATAACAAATGAGTTTAATTCACACTGAAGACGACCTGTCTGCACATTTTCATTTTTAAGAATTGCACCCTTTAGGCAGTAGGTGGATGTTTAAAAAAATGAATGGTTCCAAGCCAGGCTTTCATCACCTCCAAATAGTTTGTAGAAGTGGAGAATGAAATATGACTATTGCATATGGTAAGTCTGTAGAATAAAACAGCGCTGTTCTTCTTTCCCCCTCATTCCGTGAAGAAATGCCTTAAGCCCTGTCATCTTTCAAATGAGGGTTCTTTTAATGACTCTTACCTTTTAATTACCTGTTTCTAATTGACTCTATTTCTTGGAGCAAAAAGTTCTTTATAAATTTTGGCTTGCATGATAAATTATTGTTGATAAAAGAATACAAGACAAAATATCATGTATTTTTATTATTCTAGCTTTGCAGAAAGCAGAAAAACTAGAAAAACAGAACTGGCTAAAAAAGGACAAAATTTTGGCTGATCTAGACACCATGAAACACAGAATGAGACAGTTAAGAGGTCAGTATGAACTAAATCAAGTACCGCCATGTTTAACTCTAAATGTAACCTCAATTTGCTTGCAGTTTTTTCTACCACTAGATACCAGATGTTTACCTGAGTACTATGTAAACGTGTGTTACGAAAGTCACTTGAGCAAGTCTAAAACCTAATAGTATATCTTTTGGTACTGATTGTATATTTGTAAATTTTATATTAAAATTAATATCACATGGTTTATGTATACATTAACAAAACTAGGAGGGTATCTGTGTCCATAACCACCCTGTGGTTTTCCTGGCCTTATGTATTCCCAGCACTTAAGATATCAAATGGTTCTTTGGGGAGAAAATGTATTATGGCCTTTAGTCTGGGAGGGAATACATTTCAGGCTCTGTAATCGTCACAGCAGGATTTCAATTCCTGAGTATGTGCGCTATCTGGTGTCAAAAACATGTGACTCTTACTTCAGTAAACAACACAACTAGTCCTAAGTGCAGTGGACAGAACTCTGGGTTGAAATGGCTATTTTCCAGTTCTTACCAAAAGGATTGTTGGTTTTAAGTGAAAAGCATCTGTTACTACTGCTAACTTCTACTACTCCAGCTACTAGACATTTTCACTTGAATGTCCCATGGGCACGTGCAAGACTCAAGTCATCGTATTGCCCCACACCAACACCTCCTTCATTGCTTCTAGCAGTGGGCACTACCACCACCCACCCAAGTGTTCCATCTCAGAACCTGGAAGTCACCCTAGGCATCTCCCTCTCGCTCATTTTCTCCAAGCAAATATCAGAAAGTCTTGTTGCTTTGACTCTATTAATAATGAGTTCTATCTTAATTCTCACTGTCATTATCCAAGTTCAAGCTATTGTCGTCTAATCCTTGGATTACTGGAACAGCTTTCTAATTGGTCTCCTTCCCTACAGTCTTGACCGTAGTTTCCATTCTATGCATAACAGTGACATTCTGGAGCTGGAGGGGTCATGCAAAAGTGCGATGGTGTTATGGTCCTCCAGGCATAAAACCTTCAAAACTCCCTATTATCTTTAAGGTAAAGTTGAAACTCCTTAACGTGCTTCTCGCCCTCCTTGCCCACTCCACTCCACTCCACCCATTTGGACTTTTTTTCAGTCCCCCAGACACACTACGTGCTTTCTTAACTTTGAGTTTTTTGTACAATTCAGTTCCCTCTGCCTCAAACTTTTCTCTCTCTTGTCCTCTTGGATTGCTCCTACTCATTCTGTACTTTTCAGTTGACTTCTTGTTTCTTCCCAAAGCCTCCTCTGACATGCCAAGTCAGGGATAATGTGGTTTATCACACCCTGAACTTCCCCTCTGATCATCCTCATGACATTATAATTACCTGTTCCTGTGACTGTCTCTTCTATGTTATATTATGAATTCTATACCCTTCTTATTTGTTCTCTGAATAGTTACAGAATGATTGAATTAAAGAATGAATGGAATTTCAACCATTCACTCCAGTGAGTTTTCTAAGCTCTGTTCCTGTATCCAGTTAAATCAATAGAAGGCAACACACTGAAAATAGCACCTGGCAGAGCTGCCTTTACTGAATTCTGATTTTATATCATGTCTTCAGCTTTTGTTATAATTAAGTATTAAAAAAGGCATTTAAAAGTTCAGTTAGCATCATCCCTAATACGTCTGTTGAAAATAGTCTCTCTTTGGTCAGATGGTGTCCATTATGGAGGGATCCACTGATGTATAGTTTCTCTTAGAATTTAGTGCTAGGATAAATCTTGTCTCTACTGACAAACTGGTATGTTTTCTGCTGTTAGATGTAAATTCAATAGATGCTTATCAAATACCTACTCTGAGGAAGGACTTTTCTTATTGTTAGGAGTGTGAGGATAAGTAAGGACAAGTCTAAACTCAGTTCACTGCAGTCCCTGTTAGATTGTGAGCTCCTGCAAGCTCCTTGGATGAAAGAGGAGGTGTGGGGTATGAATAGTTGCAGAATCGATTATTTCCTATTCTTATAGCCGTTGGTAAATGCGACAGATGTTTATTGAGCATATACTATGTACAAAGTACTGTGCTAAGATGATTTTACATTTCAGTTATAAGCATGATCCTTGCTAATATTAATTGTAATACTAGTAATTACTTTGTAGAGTTTTTATGATTAAGTAACAAATGTCAACTATTTACTACATGCTCAGCACATAATAAATACTCAATAAATATTAGGATGGGGTTGCTGAGAAGGCAGCCTATTTTCCTGCTTGGGGTCTTAAAGACTAATAAATACAATTAAGGAATGGCAGGTCAGGCCAGAGTGTCACCTTTGTTAGACATAAAGGCAACACTGGAGCCTTTTATTTAGTGTGAGGGCCAAGGGGGTCTGCTAACCGAAATCCCCAGTGAGGTGGACCTGCCCTCCCAGGCTGCTGAGGAGGAGAGCTGTCCAGGTGAGATTTATAGTCTGAGAGAATAGCAAAGCCCTCGTGTTCTCCAGCGTTCCCAGGAATAGTTAGCAATTATCATTGCCATCCCCTGATCTCATGTGAAATAAAATAGCATAAATGGAAAATGTAATAAGAAAATAGAAAATAATTTATTCAATATGTTTTTGCTTGGTTTCAATTTCTGTTAGTCTTACCTACATAAATAATAGTTTTTTATGAAAACCTTTCCCAAACAAAAACCTTTTGTGAAGTCATTATGTCTCCATGAAAATTATAGTGCAAATGCATTCATTTGCTTAAGACCATTAGAAGCAAGTTGACAAAAAACAACGCCTAATGTTTTTCCTCTTTCCTATATTCAATGCTTGGCTCTTGATAGTATAAATGATAAACTATTGCTGAACTCTCTTTAGTTGAGCAAAATTTTAATGTTCAAAGTATATTGTAAATAAAACATTTATTGAAATATTATCCATAAGAATGTATGTATCATAAATTAATGTTATCTGCACTTTATGACTAGAGTTGCTAAAAACTATACTCAGTGTAAATTTGTGTTATGATTTTTCTGTGGCCACTGTGGTCTTCTCCAAAGCAAGTTACCTAATGGCACTGTCACTGTAACTCATTGCTGATTGATTCAATTATGCTTTCTCCACATCCATAAATTGCATATGAATGCTTATTAGGTACATAGAGCTCTAGTTTCCCTGAAAAGTCATTGCTGCCACTTATTTTTATTGCTGGATCTATTTCCACAAACTTGAGCTATAAGAGCACAAATGCTTTATCCTCTGCAAGTATTGGACTATTTTCAGAGTTTTGTTTGTAGTCAGAGTCTGAAAATCTGCACACCAAGAGTCCTTTGGTAACAAAATTAGGACTCAGCTTCATTCTGTTATTTTATCCACCTGAGTGTTACTGTCTCTCGAAGCCTTCTCTGACACCTCAGATTGGGTCAGTGACCCCTGCTACATGCTTTTATGGGCCCTGTCCCTCCCTGGTGAGCACAATTGTGATCAGTTATTGGTGTAATCATTTCCGTGACATCTGCCTCTTACCAAACTTGAGGCAAGCACTCGATCTTGAACATGTTTGTATTTGCATTGTCCAGCACAATGCCTGACCCATAGCTGGTGCTCAACAGAAGCATCTGAAAGGAACATACAAGAGAAAGTGTTGTTCTCACTTAAGATGGACGTTTAAAGATGAGTATGAGACTCGGTGCTGAGTATCTCTTCAACACAGAAAGAGAGCAAGTTCATCAGTATGACTTTTAAACCTCTTTTAGAACGATTTCACGTGGTCTAGTTGAAAGAATGCATAAATTCAGATCACCACACTTATTAAATTATGCCTGTGATTCTTTAGAATACGGTATTCCAATAAATATTTTCTCTTACCACAGCTTCTTAACAGCCTAAAGGGCACAGCAGAGGTGTCAGAAACTAATCGTGCTCGTGGGGTATTATTAGATAGAAAAAAAGGCCTCCTGTCTCTTGGGTTAATATTATTTTAGAAATACTTAATCCCCAGGCTGCTAAGCTAATTGTGGGGGAAAGACTTATTATTAGCGAAGAGAACAAAACATATGTTCCATGACTGGAAGAGATGATGGGCTATGTAGGTCACAGATTCTATTTGACTAAATTACCGCTGAACCATATCGTGGATAAGAGACTGGGGCCAGTGTGGAAGTCAGCATGTTATCTTTCTTTTCTGTCTGTACAGTGAGTATGCATATCCTGGCTATTTAAAGCTTCAAGCTCCCATATGAAGAGGCATTGTTAGATATTATTACCTTAGGCATCTTTGCTTTTATGATATATTTAGTATTTTAGCCTATGTTCCCAAGTGGAATGATTTATGCATAGAAAGCCAAACCAATTTATTTGAAATCTGAAAGCCCATCATCAGAAACAATATTTCCAGAGACTTCTTTCCCCAGGGCGGCGAGAAGCAGCATGTCAGCCGGCCACCATGGTTCCCAACAGAAGCCCTGTGCGGCCGGTGGTGGTGGAAGGAGGCTGGGCTGAGCAGACTCAAGAGGAAATTAAACTCATGGAACTTATAAGACATTCAGAGGTATGTTCTTTAGGACTCCAGGCATTCAAGACTCAGCCTCTTTTATAAGCTTTTAAAAGTACAGTGTTGAATTTTTAAATCATGCTATTAATATATTCTCGGCATCTGGTCAGTTATGACCACATAAGCATGTCCAAGCATTGAGTTGGCATTTGGAGAGCAGCTATCTAAGAGACAGCCAGCTCCTATGAAAGTCTGTTTTGTTTGAATGGAGACGAGAAATTATGACCTTAGCACAGAAGAGAAAAGACCCAGTGGATATGTACAAAGGTAATTACAGTAAGTGTAGTCAAGTTGAGCCTTATGGCTTCATTGCTCATCACTCCTAAGGGTATGTCTCAATATGTAAAAAGAGCGAGGAGCAAAATACTAATTGCAATGGAGACATTCAGAAGTGAGGAATTCAGAAAGCAGTTTCAGTCCAATTGGTTAATCCTTCAGGATTGCCAGACATAAAAAGTCAGGAAGAGAAAGGTCAGCTGCTGAGAGAGGATTTGGGGATAGAGACCTGGGAAAACTTTTTGCTTGCAAAGTTTTTCATCAAAATGAAATGTTCTTATTTAATAGGGTTCCTCAAATCATGAAATGTGTTCAATCAAAATCTTAGGCATGTGTCCAAGTCAAGGTTACTAGAAAAAAGGAAATTGACATTGCTAGAAATATGACTTCTTGCCAAGCTAAGAAGGATAAATCACTGACCAGGGAACGAATGCAGAACATTGAATAGGACCCACTCGAGGTGGGTGGAAAGCCACCCGGCAGGGATCTGGCAAAGCGCAGGGTGGCAGCCGTATTTTAAAAGACAGTGAGTGAAGACTTAAACAACAGTCACGCGCACTCCCCTAAGCATTCCTTGGTTAAAGGAAATGACGTTGTGATTCTAATAAAATATTCATTTGTTAGATGCAGAGAAATCGCTCAGTAGGAGAACCACTGTGCAGAAATCCAACAACACATCTCTATTCATTTCTCCAAATTATAAATGAAGGTGAAATGCTTTGCCAAAATAAGTGCCTTATTATTATTACTCTGTGATTATTATTGCCCTTAGTGGTTCAGGGAAGCAAGGGGAATTTACAGAAGAGTCAGTGACAGGAGAGCGTAATGTACTTCCTAAAATTTTTTCAGTGAAGTTTACAGTTATAAGATATTTCTATCTGTCATTACATTCTTCACACATACACTAACAGAGGATTCTCTAACCAGGGCGTTCACTGGGCTTTTCTTAACAGGCACACCTTTCTGAAGTCCAGGAACTGCAACACGAGACAAATCCTCCAATTGCAACTACACGTGTGGCACTCAAGCAGAGCCGCCTGTATAAGCAACCCAACGCCAAACGAGTATGGCTCTATCTGAATGGGGGCAGACCCGAAGACGGCACTTATGCCTGGGGCAGAACTATTCCAGAGGTCAGTCTAGTGGGAAAGGAAGTGTTCCATAGTTCTGGGTTCAAATCCCAGCTCTGACATGTCTAGATCGTTAGGTCAGGCAAGTTATTTTACCTTCCTAAACTTCATTTTCTCATCTGTGAAATGAGAATAACACTTTCCTCACAGGGTTGACATGAGGAGTAAAGGAGCTCCTACATGTGAAAACGTGGAGTCCAGTGCTATCTGACACGTGTGAATCAGAACTCAACATTTGGCTGACAGAGAACAATGATGGCCAAAGAGTAAAATCTAAACTTTACAATAGGTTTCCCGTTCCGTTTCAAACCCAGTTCACAAAAGAGTGATTTCCCCCATCAGGAATTACTCACTAGACACATTCTCTGTAGGGAAAACAACAGTGTTCATCAGGGAAAACCCACCGTGTTCTTACAACCCAGTGCCCTGGAACCACAGCCGACTCGCACTTTCCAAAGTTGAAACATTGACTAAGGAAAAGATGAGTGCAGTTCACGTCTTGTTTGCAATATCAAGGATATAATTCTAAAGTCTGACATTTTGTCTTAGTTGTAAATACAACTTTAGGTACCTAATCAATGGATTTTCACAGACTTTTTAAAAAGTCTTATCTGTTGCAGTGATATCTTGAGTAGTTGTTTGGCTTTTTTATTTTGTGAAATGTTTTTATAAGTTTTTCTGGGACCAGAGGAAGTCACATAAAGATGAGACGTTGGCAGGTGAAGGGAAAGGCAAGATGGTGCAATAGACCGGCCGAGAGGAGTCATAGAGGCTGATGAGGGCACGGGGAGTAACGGCACCTCAGAGGGGCTCTGCTCTGAAGATGGTGATTTCAGAGTGCGACGGAGACCACTCCTCTTTGACAGAGTTTTTTGAATAAGAACTGTGAAAGCTATTGCATCTCAGAAGTTGACAACCAATTTGCTGTACTTGAGAAAGAAGAGAGAAAAATGCAGAAAATGTACTCAAAACCAGAAAGGGACTTCACATACATGGCGGGGGGGGGGAGTGATTTTTAAAAAGAGAGTGAAAACTTTTTCAGTAGAAAACATTCTAGAAGAGGTTCTTTAAAGAGCTGAGATGTTTCTCTCTTGCTGTTTTCTTCAAAAATCTCAGAGTTCATACTGTAGATGCTAAGTCTTAAAATGCATTTAATCGTTGCAACTACAACTGACACATTAGTGAGGGACGATGAAGGGATTAATAGATAGGTAAAGGGTAGAGCAGGGGCAATAAGATTAAAGAGTGCCTATCAGACTCAGGATAGCAGAAACTTAACAATAACTTTTATAAAAATTACATATATCTGGTGGAGGAATGACTTTTAGACTCATGTGACTCTCATGTAGCATATAAAATGCACCCTTATAAGTATTATTCCATGATCATATAATTTCTCTAGGAACTTTGTACATGAAGGGCACTGTGCTAGATGTTGTAAGGTATTATTCTAATTCAGTATGTGAAAAGATTTTGAGGACTTTACCCTGCAGTACAGTTGACAGGTTAACATTGATAGTAGTGGTAGTAGTAGGGGGAATAAATAAAACACAGTCTGTGCTCTCATTAAATTAATATTTCAAATTGGCAAAGCTTTTGAAAATATATCAAGATTTACTTGGGTGTAGAGAAATGGGCACTCTCCTGCTGATGAAAGTACAACTTTTTGGAGGACAATGTGGCTATATATATCTCATAAGAAAATATACTTCTAGAACTTCCCAAGGATATTTTCATGAATCTATGCAAAGATTGTTTGGTAAGAATATGTATCACAGGGCTATTTATAACACAGATAAATTAGAAATAATTTAAACACTCATCAATAGGGAGTTGGTGAAATGAATTATAGTACATTTAAATCAACTTTAGAAAGAGTAATGACAAAGATGTTCAAGGTATACTGAGTGAAAGACACATAACATAAAGCACGTGGAGTGGGATTCTATATACAGCCATGCACACACCTAGAAAAAAAGACTGGAAGGATTTTAGTTTTGGAAGTATTTATTGGAGGTCTTGTTATTGGTGACCCAATGAAGGTGGTATTTCTTTCTTTTTTTTTTTTTTTTTTTTTTTTTTTTTTGTGAGGGAGATCAGCCCTGAGCTAACATCTGTGCTAATCCTCCTCTTTTTGCTGAGGAAGACCGGCTCTGAGCTAACATCTATTGCCAATCCTCCTCCTTTTTTTCTTTCCCCCCAAAGCCCCGGTAGATAGTTGTATGTTATAGTTGCACATCCTTCTAGTTGCTGTATGTGGGACACGGCCTCAGCATGGCTGGAGAAGCGGTGCGTCGGTGCTGGCCCGGGATCCGAACCCAGGCCGCCAGTAGCAGAGCGCGCGCACTTAACCACTAAGCCACCGGGCCGGCCCGGTATTTCTTTCTTATGTGGTTTTCTGTGTGTTCTACATTTTGTTATGCTGAACACAGATTGTCCTTGCAAGAAAAATGTATTTGCTAAGGGAACTGATGTTCCTCTTAGAGAAATACTAACAGCATGTGATAAAGTTCCAGTCAGCAGCTCAGGCAGGAAGTCCCATAGGAGTTCAGAGGAGGGGACCCTGTGCCCACCTGGGATGAAGGAGAAAGGTCCACAGAGGAATCAATCAGGATTCTGATGGAACTTGAGAAATGGGTAAGATTCAAAATCTTAGGCAGAAAAAGCATTAACAAGGATGAGGGGCACCACACACAAAGGTAAGGGCCTTAGAATTTGTAAATCATATTAAGTAGATGTGCTTGGACTGAGAAATAGGCAGAGATACGTACAACTGGAGAGACTGTTTACGTGCGTATGGTGGATCCCACATGCTATCTGTATGAGTCTATTTGGGCTGCCATAACCAAATACCACAGACTGGGTGGCTTAATCGACAGAAACTTATTTCTCACAGTTCTGGAGACTGGAAATTCCAAGATCAAGGTGGCAGCAGGGTTGGTTCTGATAAGGACTGTGTTTCTGGCTTGCAGATGGCCACCTTCTCACCGCTGTTGTCCTCACACAGCCTTTCCCCTGTGCATGTGTGGAGAGAGAGAGAGCTCTGGTGTCTTTCTCCTCTAATAAGGCCACAGTCCTGTCGGGTCAGGGCCCCACCCTTACGACCTCATTTAACCTTAATTCCCTCCTTAAAGGCCCTTTCTCCAGATACAGTCACTCTGGGGGTTAGAACTTCAACCTATGAGTTTTGGGGGGACACAGTTCAGTCCATCACATATCCCAGACTGAAGTTTGAGCCACAAGTTTTCTCTGAATAAGGAATGGCATGGCAAAGCAATGTCTGGGGAGACTGATGTGGCCTCAGGGTGTTGAAAGATACTTAGGAAATGTCTAGAAAGTTTTCTGCACCTTATTTCTTCCTTTGCTTTATTTTTTAAAAATGTTCTTCTAATCTCTTTCCTGTCCTTTCCCATGCTGTCTGTTTTGTTTTTAGGGACCCACCTGAGCTCTTTGTGATCAGTTAGAAATGTATCCTTCCAGGCTATCAGGCTGTAAAGAGTACTCCTGAAGAGTGGGCTGTGTGAGTGAAACAAATAGACCACAGAAAGAGTAGGGCTCAGACCTCACTGGGGACTCTGGCCAACGACTGCAATTCCAGAGAAGCTCAGAGTTTCTGTGGTTGGTACACTTACGGGGAGAGTGAGGAACAGAACACATTTCAAAGTGCCTCCCTCTGCTCTCTGTAATGAAACCCCCAGATGGTATTTGAGTCCCATCTCGTGCACACTTCCCTCTGCTTCTTTCCCTGCGGTGGCTATTCTGGATGATTTAACCACATTCCTCCCGCTCATTCTTTGAACATTGCTAGAGCAACTTTCACCTCCGACTGGTGTAGCTCATCTGTCATCAGGGCTCCAAGGCGGCTGCCTCTCCAGCGTTAGTGGCTCTTTTTTCAGGGCCAACGTCTTTCTCTGATTTATGATTTTATGATTGCCCGGGCCCCTCCGTGTATGTCCTGAAGCATTTGTCTTCTCCCATCCCTGCATCACCTCTCTGATCGTACAGAATCTCAGAACCAGGGTGTTCTCTCTCAGCGGAGCACAGTTCTAAATTCGTGCGCGGAAGCTGAAAACACGAGAAACAGGTCCCTCTGATTTGTGGAGACAAGTACCTCATGCCCTCAGAGAATGCGAGATAGTTCTGTGAGGCTCAGTGCCCCGCCCTGGGAAGACCTGGTCTATGAAAACTAAACTCACAAAATAGACATGGGTGAGGAATTATGTGTAGAACATTGTTCCTTTATTGTGAGCTTTTGTTATTGCAAAAATTACAAACATTTAGTTTATATTACCCAGTTTAGATACATTTGAAAAACTGAGAATTAAGAATGTCATTAAAGGTTGTAAGCTGACTAGATATTTTAGAACCTAATTGTAATGAAAGTGCCTTATTTTCAAAAGATTTTTGTAAACCCATTAACTTTGTCTAATATAAATAGATCTTTGTGAAAACCAAGTGAAATAGCTATAGATTTAATTCATATTTTGCATTTAGTGTATGTTTTTATTAAATAACATTCATTTTTCTGATTATAAACAGGAAACACAATGTCTATAGAGTAGTGACATTTTAGTGGTAAAGTAGGGAAAAATATAAGAATTGCCTTTATGTAGGATCTTTTCTAGCTGCAGGAGTTTCTCCCAGAGACCTATCTATGCATATTTCTAGGCCAGCCCCCCAGTGCTCCCAGCTCAGATAGAAACTCAGCTTTCATACCCTTTGGTCGCCTTGGAGAAGAAGGAAAATTGATAACTGTTATGGACTGAACTGTGTCTCCCAAATTCTTGTGTCGAAACCCTAACCCCCAACATAACTGTACCGGGGGAAAGGGCTTTTAGAAGGCAGGTAAGGTTAAATGAGGTCATAAAGGTGGGGCCCTAATCTGATAGGAAGACGTCCTCACAGAAACCCAATCGGCCAGCACATTGATCTTGGACTTCCAGCCTCTAGAACTGTGAGAAATAAATGTCTGCTGTTTCATAGGCACTCAGCCTATGGTATTTGTTTTGGTGGCTGGAGCACACTAAGACAGTGACTATTGTCAGGGAAAGTTTAGAAACATCACAAAGGAAAACCATACAAGTCTATTGTAATCTCTATGAAGTTTTTGATTATTTGAATAACATTTATTCTGTTTTCTAATTATAAAACAACATATAGTCATTGTATTAAAATTAGAAAAGAAAAAGCACCAAGAAGGAATGAAAATTCTATCACCCACAAATAACCACAGTTATTATCATTTTAGTGGATATATTTCTATGGTTTCTATACAGTGACAATTTTTTTGCCATTGTGATCATAGTAGATGGTACGGTATATACAATTTTGTAATCTGCATTATTCACCTGACAAACTGTTGTGACTTTTTGCCCACATAACTTAACATTCAATGTGATTGTTTTCAGTGGCATCATTGTCTTCTATCAAATGGACAGATTGTTATTTATTCATCCAGTTTTTTATTGTTTGTCATTTAGGTTGTTTTTAAATTTTTGCTGTTCTAAAGCATGCTCCAGTGAATGTATTCACATATAGATCTTTACTTAACTTCTTGATTATTTCTCCCAAATAAATTTTTAGAAGAATTGCTAAGTCTAACTATATAAACATGGTTGAGAATTTTGATAGCTATTGCTAAATTGTTTTCTAGGACTATTTTGGGTGTTTACGCTGCCACAGGTGGTGAATGAGGTTCCCATCTGCAGGTGGTCAACACCAGAGAGCAACACCACTCAGTCCGGGCGTTCAGAAACACGCACACTCAGGCTGGATAGAGAAAACACTGCATCTCTGATTTAATTGATAATCTTCTTTAAGTACTTATAAGTGATTTTACTTTGTTTTGTTCTGGTTTTTTACTGTTTATTAGTTATCTGTGAATTTCCAGTTAAATTTTTTGCAATTTTTCTATGGCAAGTATTTTTCACACTGATATGAGTTTTCTTTTTTTAAGCAGATAAGCCTATTATGTGTAACTTTATCATATTTATTATAACAAATTTCCAATTTTCCATTGTCTCTGAGATATTTTAATGTACAGAAATTAATAAATTTTATAAGTTTGTTCATTGCTTTCAATGTTCAAATAGTCCTTTACCATCCTGAGGTCATATAAACATTCATCTGATTTTTGTTCAAATTTTTTATTATTGAGTTTTTTCTGGTTATAAAATTTGAGTGAAGCTATGTTCTCTGCTTTATTTGTTGGCTTAAAATGATCTCAGCCCTTCTTACTGACTAACCATTTTTGTTTTCCCCCCCAAGCTGGAATATCAACTTTATAATACACTGAACTCTTGTGTATACTGGCGTCTGTTTTTAAGCTATCTACTGCACCTAACACTTTTAGAATTATTGTGGCTTTACGGTATATTTTAGTATGACAGGAGTTGCCAATTGTTGCACCTTGTTTTCAGATTTTACTCGAACACTCTTGCCTGTTGATTCTCATAGATGAGTTTTGGAGTTGCATTTCAACACCCTGAAATCATCCTGCAGGGGCTTGGGCTGTAGCTGTCTGAGGCTATTCATTAATTTAATGGGAATTGACATGTTTTATAGTGTTCCGTCTCTGTGGCCAGGTTGAATTCTGTGGCACTCTTTTATACACGTCTTTCTCTTTCTGTCCTTCAGTAACATTTTATAATGTGTTATGAGAGAGAGCCTTACATGTTAAAATAAGTATCATTCCCAGTCAATTTTGCTGGCTGGCTGGATTCACCTCACTATATTTTCTAAATGCCTGTTTTTGGTGAACGAAAAATTATTGATGTTTTATAATTTATTTGCTGCTTAGCCACGTTACTAAGCATTCTTCTTTTTGTTATTAATTTCTCATTTGATTCACATAAATTTTCTAAGGATGAAATCATGTTAAGTTCACATGTTGATGATCTTGCCTATTCCTTTAGAAGAACTATTTCTCTTATTCTGATTTTATGCTGTATTGCATTGGTTATAATCATAAAAATAAATATTCTTAACAAAGGAAAAAAGAAGAAACAGCATTTTTTGCCTCCATGAATAACTAGGTTAGAACGCTGTGGTGTTTCTTTTCCTTGCCCATATCCCTTTTTGGTGAATTTTACATTTTTTACTTTATTTTTTTCTCTATGAAGACTTATTTTAAAATTTTTAGTTCATTTATTTCCTGACCATTTTTGTTGACCATCATGTTCCAGTGGTCTTACTGCTTAATATTAGTCATTTTATCTTATGACTTTCCCATGGTGAAGGAATTTCATTTATTTCTTAATAATCTGAAATGTATGTGGGTGATAGGTTTTCTGAGTTTTGTATACATGAAGATATCTTTTATTTCCTGTAACCAAAAGTAATAATTTAGCTGGGTACTGAATTCTTATGTTAAAACCTTTTCCCCTAAAAACTTCATAGATTTTGCTCCATTTTCTTTGGTATTCATTGTTGCAGAAAACAGGTCTAGACATAACTGAATTTTTCCCCATGTCTGAAATTCATACTTTTTATCCAGTTATATTTAAATGTTAGTCAATTTTTCATTAACTTTGCCTTATCCTGGGTTAGCCTATTTGGTCTGAAGATATGGCTCTTTGTTTGGAACAGGAAAGTTTTCTTCTATTATTTTGATAATTGTTTAAGTTTAATTTATTCTGGATTCTTCTCCAATAACACCAATAATGTACAGGTTTAATACCTGATGTCTCGACATTCTAGATGTTTGACTTTTCTCTCACAAATTTTATGTCTAATCCTTTCTCTGTATCCTGTGAGATTTTCTCAACTTCATCCTTCCTAATACTGGTTTGATTTTCTACAATATTGACTCTGCTTTTTTCTGCTTCTAAGACAGATTTTAATTCTACTATTGAGTCTCTTATTTCCTTACCTTCTCTCCTCTTCTCCTTCAGCTCTCTATTCATCCCAATTTGAAACCCTGTTCCTTCTTTTACTAGCTGTATGACCTTGGTTATGATATTTAACCTTTCTGTTCTACACTTTTCTCATCAACAAAAGGAGAGTAATAATTATTTCCATAGAGTGAAATTAGGTTGTCCTTGGAAACATTGAGAAAAGTTCTTAGCCTATAGAAGTATGCCAATAAGTTTTAACTGCTATTGTTGCCATCGTCGTCGTCATCATCATCATCATCATCATCGTCGTCATCATCATCATCGTCGTCGTCGTCATCATCGTCATCATCATCATCATTGTCATCATCGTCGTCGTCGTCATCATCGTCATCATCATCATCACCGTCATCATCATCATCATCGTCATCGTCGTCACCATCATCATCATCATCATCATCATCGTCATCATCATCGTCTCTGTTTGCGTCTCAGCAACGTTCCTTTTCTTTAAGCTGTTGTCCTCTCACTTCTGTGTGTGTGGTTATGGAGGTCATATTTTATTGAATTTTGGGGACACAGTACAGATACTCTTTAAAATGTACTACTGCCGTAAATCTTATCTAAGCCTTCACTTTGGGTATAGTGTACCCCTTTTATGTTGTAGAATATTTTCATAAGCCTAATATTGTTGCTATTGTTCATTTTTCTATTTATACCTCTTTGTACAAGGTAAGATCTCCTGACAGTAGACAGGATAGATAAGTTCTCTTCAGTTCCCCTAAATTTTGACTCGGGAACTGTCAGAATCCTCCTCTTGGTCTTAGTCGGAGAGCTGGTCAAATTGCTGCTGACTGGCTTTTAGTTAGCAGGAGGGTAGGGCTGCGTTTAAGGCCACCCTCCCTCTGCTCTTCTCTGACTGTCCACTCCGCAGAGGGAGGCGTACTCTTGGTAATTTCAACTGTTATTCAATTCAGTCCATTTGTCCCTTGCTCAGAACAGTGGGTGAACACTGCACTCCCTGGACTCAATGGTCTCATCACTCTGTCTTGCTTCATGTTACTGATTCATTTTCCAGATGCAAGATACCGTTGGGTGCCCAGTTCTGCCCCCAGCCAGGCTGCATTGTTGTGAGCTGTGGCCCCTAAATAGAGCTAAAAAAGAAGTGCTGATGGTGACTGGGGCCGATGTGGACCCGGCTCCTGCATCTTTGGGGACAGTTGTTTGCCCTACATGACGGGTGGAAGTCATGCGGGCATGTGTGCTTCTTCTTGCTTGCTTTCATTACCTCGTCTCAAAGTCCTATTCTCACTTAGATGGAACTGCCCTTAGGGGTCTGGCGCATGCTGGCTAATCTTTCTAGTACTGTTGATACTTGGCATCTGTACATGTGTTTTTATGAATATTTCAGGGAAAATTGAGAGAGATTAAATAAGGCCCCTCAAGATAGTGTTAAAATTTACCAAGTAAAAACCACAACAAAAAAGACTTTCGAATCATAGAATCACAGAGACAGAGAGGTCTTAGACCAAAGCTTTGACTTTATAGCTGAAGACACTCATTTGTGGGGGCACTGCCTGACATGAGGTAGGACAGAGGCCAGTGCCCCCCAGGCCTCCTGAGCTCGAGGTCAGTGCTTCTGTCCTTCTAGCCCCTTGCTCATTGAAAAAATAATAATTTAAGCTATTCTGACAAGTTTGGATTCTCAAACCAGAGCTTTTCATATTTAGGCATTTCTTATGCGGCAAGAGGCCTTCTTCCACATGGAAAAATAGAGAACTACAAGAAAAAGGCCGCTGCAGACCACTGAAGCTCCTCATTGTTCAAGTGCTTTAGGGAACTTCTGTATGCCCCTCTTCCCACCTCCCTCTGTGCCTCTTTCCAACCAGTATAAGTACAATGAGTGTTTGAGTCGGATGATAGTTCTCTTAGAGGAGTTGATTCTTCAACACGTCATCACGTTGTGACAGTCCACATTCCAACATCCCTCTGTGTTTCAGCTGCTGGATGACTGCTCCTCTCGCCTCAGAACGGCCCAGCCAGCCAGGACACTGTACACCCCAGACGGAGAGCCACTTCACTCGTGGGACGACATAAAGCGAGACATGGTCATCTGTGTGTCCACAGGACACGGCTTTATCACCCAAGAAGGTATAGGTGACAGTTGCTTTTCTATCAAGTTTTTGAAGAATTAAAAGCATTCAATCTTTTCTTCAGAGAGCTTACTTACTGAATTTTATATCCCAGCTTGATGATTTTTAATAATTATCCTCCTCCACATTTTTCTACTCCATGTTACTGAAGTTAAATTTATATATTAATTTAAGGTATTAAATTATAGTTAGTCTTGAAGCCTTATCCAAGGGGCTTATTGCAGACACTCTAAAGGGCGTCATTTGAAGGTGCAGGCATACCTCAAGAGATATTGTGGGTTCAGTTCCAGACCACCACAATAAAGCAAATATCACAATAAAGCAAGTCACATGAATTTTTTGGTTTCCCAGTGCATATAAAAGTTATGTTTATATTATACTGTCGTCTGTTAGGTGTGCAATAGCGTTATGTCTAAAAAACCAATGTACATACCTTAATTAAAAATACTTTATTGCTAAAAAACGCTAACCATTGTCTGAGCCTTCAGTGAGTCATAATCTTTTAGCTGGTGGAGGGTCTTGCCTCGGTGTTGATGGCTGCTGACTGATCAGGGTGGTGGTTGCTGAAGGATGGGGTCGCTGTGGCAATTTCTTACAATAAGACAACAATGAAGTTGGCTGCATCGATTGACGCTTCCTTCCATGAACAATTTCTCTGTAGCATGCAATGCTGTTTGACAGCATTATAAGCACAGTAGAACTTCTATCAAAATTGGAGTCAATCCTCTCAAACTGTGCTGCTGGTTTATCAACTAAGTTTATGTAATATTCTAAATCTTTTGTTGTAATTTAACCAGTCTTCACAGCATCTTCACCAGGAATAGACTCCATTTCAAGAAACCACTTCTTTGCTCATCCATAAGAAGCAATTCCTCATCCATTAAAGTTTTATCATGAGATTACAGAAATTCAGTCACATCTTCAGGTTCTGCTTCTAATTCTAGTTCTCTTGTTATTTCTCCCACATCTGCAGTTACTTCCTCCACTGAAGTCTTGAACTCCTGAAAGTCATCCATGAGGGTTGGAATCAACTTCTTCCAAACTCCTGTTAATGTTGCTATTTTGATCTCTTCCCGTGAATCACAAATGTTCTTAATGGTATCTAGAAGGGTGAATCCTTTCCAGAAAGTTTTCAATTTACTTTGCCCAGATCCGTCAGGGGAATCACTATCTATGGCTGCTATGGCCTTCCAGAATGTATTTCTTAAATAATAAGACTTGAAAGTCAAAATTATTCCTTGGTCTGTGGGCTGCAGAATGGATGTTGTGTTAATAGGCATGAAAACAACATTAATCTCATTGTACATCTCCATCAGAGCTCTTGGGTGACCAAGTGCATTGTCAACAGGCAGTAATATTTTGAAAGGAATCTTTTTTTTCTGAGCAGTAGGCCTGAACAGTGGACTTAAAATATTCAGTAAATCATGTTGTAAACAGATGTACTGTCACCCAGGCTTTGTTATTCCATTTATAGAGCACTAGCAGAGTAGATTTAGCATCATTCTTAAGGGTTCTAGGATTTTCAGAATGGTGAATAAGCATTGGCATCAACTTAAAAGTCACCAACTGCGTTAGCTCCTAACAAGAAGTCAGCCTGTCCTTTGAAGCTTTGAAGCCAGGCATTGACTTCTCCTCTCTAGGTATGAAAGTCCTAGATGGCATCTTCTTCCAATATAAGGCTGTTTTGTCTACATTGAAAATCTGTTGTTTAGTGTAGCCACCTTCATTAACCATCTTAGCTAGATCCTCTGGAGAACTTGCTATGGCTTCTACATCAGCACTTGCTGCTTCTCTTTGCACTTGTGTGTTACAGAGATGGCTTCTTTCCTTCAACCTTATGAACCAACCTCTGCTAGCTTCAAACTTTTCTTCTGCAGCTTCCTCACCTCTCTCAGCCTTCATAGACTTGAAGAGAGTTAGGGCCTTGCTCTGGATTAGGCTTTGACTTAAAGGAATGTTGTGGGTGGTTTGATCTATCAGACCACTAAAACTTTCTCCATATCAGCAATAAAGCCTGTTTCACTTTCTTATCATCCATGTGTTCACTGACGTAGCACTTTTAATTTCCTTCAAGAACTTTTCCTTTGCATTCACAACTTGGCTAACTGTTTGGCGCAAGAGGACGTTGTCCTTGTCTCAGCTTTCGACATACATTCCTCACTAAGCTTAATCATTTCTAATCATTTCTAGCTTTTGATTTGAAGTGAGAGATGTGAGACTCTTCCTTTCACTTGAACACTTAGAGGCCATTGTAGGGTATTAATTGGCCTAATTTCAATATTGTTGTGTTTCAGGGAATAGAGAGGCCCAAGGAGAGGGAGAGAGATGGGGAAACAGCCAGTTGGTGAAGCAGTCAGAACACACATAACAATTAAGTTTGCCATCCGTCTTAAATGGGCACGGTTCATAGCACCCCAAAACAATTACCATAAGAGCATCAAAGATCACTGATCACCATAACAAATATAATAATAAGGAAAAGTCTGAAATATTGCGAGAATTAAAATGTGACACAAAGAAATGAAGTGAGCAAATGCTGTTGGAAAAATGGCGCTGATAGACTTGCTTGACGTAGGGTTGCCCCAAACCTTCAATTTGTAAAGCACAATAGCCAATAAGCACAATAAGGAGAAGCGCAGTAAAACGAGATATGCCTGTATTCCCTTAGCGGAACCCTGAGCAGAGTGAGGCTCCACTGACTTCCTACTTTTCAAGTTATTTAAAACTTAATGTTTATTAACCTTAACTATACAGTTTGCAGATTTCTTTTTTTTTGTAATAAGTAAATATATGCTCGTTTTATTATCTTGTCTATTCCTTGATAATTTTCTTTGATAAGTGACAGAAATGGAAAAGAACATATATTTGTTATTAAACTAACTTTTGTCCTTTATCCTATTCATCCTGAGGGATTTAAAGCTCTTTTAGGGGGTATGCATTTATTAGCAAAGACATAATTGTCAGGAAATTCTGAAGAACATTGATATTACTTTAAAGGAAATTAAAAGATTATGAAGTGAATTACCTGGGATCCCTAAAATAATGCTAGATTATTCCTTTTAGAAGTCACCATAGAATTATTATTACTATGTTATGTAAGGTACATAAACCTAAAACTTTTAAAAGAGTTGCAGTCATATTTGTACATTTAGCCCAGGAGGGACAAAAGTACAGGCATGAAGACTAAAAAATAGGAAGGCAAGGATTTATTGGGACACCTGGCGCTATTCTGAGGGAGGCCACAGATATTCCTCCAGCACCGTCCTACGTCAAGGAAGAGGCTGCAGTCTCTGTGATCTTTGTATTCTGTTGTCCCCACCACTCACCGTTACCCCTCCCCCAGCTCTTGGTGACCCTCACCATGTGGTGACTTAGAAGAATGCGCCAGTGATGGGGTTCTTATCGTCAGTAGGTATTTCTGAATTCCCAGAGGGCAGAGCCTATAAAAGAAACATAAGCCAGGTTCCCTCCCTGAAAGAATTTTCAATCTAATAATGTATAAGAACACACTTGAAATATTCTAGCACAATCGAACAGTAAGCAAACAAGTAGTGCAGGGGGAGCTACTCTCCCAGTCCTTCCATTACTTCTGCTTAATCTTGCACCCTCTTGGGAGGGCCTTCTGTTGCCTGGACCCCACCCTCCTGGCCATGCTGTGTTCATTAGGCCTTTCTGATAGATAAAGCTAAGTGTGCTTCAGGCAACCCTGCCAAAAGGGTACCCAAAACACGAGAGAAATGCAGGCCGCCTTCCCAGAAGCAAGCTTGTTACCAATAAAAACTGAAGCGAAGAGAGAAAATTGGAAGTGCAAATATGACTCCCTACCATTCCTCCATGTTAGTTCTGTGGACCTTCGACGAGGCTGTGTAGGCAAACATTCGTTTCCGCATCTTCAGTTCTGTCACCACATGGATTACTATGAGGTGGAAGTTGATTCTTTTCCTCTGAAAGTAGGTCCCCGTATTACGTATTATACTCATGGTGAAAGGTTTAGTGGTTTTCTCTAATTGTCTAAGATCTTTTCCATGGGTGATGTATGTTCCAGGAAATCTGATTGATAGCAAAGAGTCTAATTTAGTTGTTCTTTAGAAACTTATTTTACTATATGAGTTGCCATTTTATTGTTTTTCTTGAAATAATTAAGTTAGAAATAATCATTTAGTAGAAATCTAAATATTCAGAATGCTTTAAAAAGAAAAGAGAGAAATGCTACTAGCATATATATACTTATGAAGGGACATTTAATTAATCATTCTATTCATAATTTTTCTGTGACCTACTGGCTTAACTATGTAGCAGAAAATAAGGCAGCCAGGGAGTTTCAGAACTAAACCCTCTATAATGAGTTATTTTATGTACTATACTGTAAAAACATTTAGCATGTGGACGTTAGTCATCAAAGAATCACACTCAGTTTTTGAGAAATGGATTTGTTTTGGCAAAACAAATAAGACTCTGTTAGAATGGTTTCTTTCACACAAACCTCCAACAAAATTAAAAGAGTGCTTTATGCCATTTGTCATCAAATCTGCACACTGTTCTCACTGCTGTGTTTACCGTCTTTTCAGTGGGTTCAATTTTTAGACCTCTCCTAGGTTAGCTTCCAACTCAGGCTTTATAAAAAGCCTGGAAGGAAGCCCTCTCTAGCAACTGCCGTTCAGTAGAAACCCAAAGAATGTTAACACAGATCTGATGTGATATGCAAGTCAAGTGTGTAATGAGAGAGTCTAGCGTGGGAGTCGAGGGTTTCTGAGAGATCTTGGAGTGTTTCATCGTCCTGGACCTTTAATTATTTTCTATAAATACATTGACTTGTCTCTCAAAATAATTTTTTTAACAGAGCTAAAGCAACGGATGGAGGTCAGAGCAAATTATGCCAGAATCCGAAGGCAGCATGGCCCTCAAGCCACAGACGTTGTGGTGTTGCCGTCGGCGAAGCTGCCCTCTCCGGTACGTCTACGTCTACCAGTGAATTCCTGTGGGAGCTGGCGTGTTGGGTGCTGCGTCTCACTGGGATAGCCTCTGCGTCCAGGCTCGTGTGCTGGCTGTGACGTGATGATCACTCATCCTTTCTAATTTTAGCCAGTCTCTTTTAAAAGTTATTCCCTCCACATTTTACACAGAGTGGCATTAGATGCCTCATATCTGTTCTTGGAAAGGCAACAGAACTAGACAAAGCAATGCCAATAAAATAACTGTCAGGTATATTTTCTTCCAGGGAAAAGAAAGGAAATTACTAGTTATTACTGAAAAATAATTTAGTGGGTCAAGTAATATATACACACACACACACACATATATATATATACTTTAGTGGAGTCAAGAAGTATATATATTATATTTAACATATATAACATATATATTATTTGATAATAAAATAGACTCTTTGACCACCTAACACTAAATTCGACCCAAACTAACATTTTTCTGGCTCAGCCACCGCATTTTCCAAACCTCCATGTTAAAATCCTACATTTACTGAAGGGAGATGAAGTGGCCGGTGGCCGTGGAACGCCACGTGAGTGGATCTTCCCCCTGCAGTCTGGCTTGCAGTAACAGTGCAGGACTCTTTGTGGGGCACAGCTAGATGTTGTTCATGAGAGTGAAGCTGGATAATTCCTGACATAAACTCAGTAACTGAAAGTCATAGACTGTGTCCTCAATGCAGAAACTCAGGGAAAGGATGTATGCCCTCTTTGAAAGAAAAGTCAGGTAAGGATTGTTTATAAGGCATCCAAGGAGATTCTTAGCAATCTTAGGTATCAATCCTACAGGAAGAGAAGAACTTACCTGTTAATTTCTTCCTGCAATGACGAAAGAATCGTTTTTTTAAAAAAATAGCAGTGACAGATCAGAGTTTGGTTTCTGGTCCTGGTGGAAAATTTCCCGAGAAATGCTCTTCTTCTGTCTCTTCCTCTGAAAGCCACTCTCAGCTCTGCCTGAATATTGGTTGCAGCCTGGCTAGGGGTGTCCAGAGTGGCTCAGCTGGCCCCCTCCCAGTCTCCCGCTCTAACGTGCCACAGGAAGGCGTTAGATCACAGCTACCGAAGGAGGCTCTTGGTCATCGCCACAAAAAGCCTCGTATTCACTCCGGGTCTGCCAATCAGTGGGGCTGTGTGCATCAACTCCTTCTGCCTCCGACGCCGCTGACAGCAGAGCACGTCACCTCTGCAGCAATTGGCCGTCTTGCAGACGCTGTCTCTGTGTGTTGTGCGATGTTAGGTGGGAAGGCATTCCAGGACGGCTTTGTGATAGAAGGAGAAAAGGCTGCACGTGACGCCCACTTTGCCTTTCCTTTTTTAACAAGAATGTTGAAACAAGAAGGGTGAAGGACTGTGCCCCGGTCAGGAGGTGGGCCAACAGAAGTCCTGCCTGCCCAGCCTCTCCTTACAGTGACTGGGTCACAAGCCCCGGAGACACAGCACTTTTTATTTTTTTCAAAATTCCTTGAAAACGAAAGCATTTCTCTAGGTGCAAAAGCTGCCAAGGAAAAGTTGATCTGCTATGAAAATGGCATAATTTCACCCTGGATCAAACGTGCAAATTCTTGTGAAGCCTTCACTGTTGCATGTGAACATGCCTGAAGTGAAAATTGGAAATATCACACACGCTGTCTGCAGCACCAGGAGACGTCGGCAAACTCTGAACTGAACTCTCCCATTACTGGTAAGTGGGATTTCAGATGAAATGTAACAGCCATCAACACATCACACTGCACCAGCAGGGCAGCGACACTGACTTTGTTGACGACAGCCTGCCGGGTCTCTTGGCAGATCGTAACCATTTTAACTTCGACCAAGAGCAGCCCTGCTCTTTCCTTGTTATTGGCCTTCCTCTTTGGTTGGCTGGGAGGTAGACGGGGGAGCGGTTACTCCACCTTAGCGGGGACTAGAGGATAAGACCATTGTAATTCTGTTCAGCCCTCCTAGGCTTTTAATAAACCCCGTAATTTCCTTTGGGGACATGTTTATCAAATCTGAGTCCACCTCATCTATATAAGTCACATTTCAATATTTTTCTATCAACTGGAAACCATTTATTATTCAGTACTAAAGCAGCCATCCCCAAGCCCGTGGCCTTCTCCAGAAATTTATTTCCTTCACCTCCGCAGACATGCTTAAGGTGATCCAGATGTTAATCAACAGCGTACCAGCATTCGTGATTGTCCTCAGGAGAAAGAATTTTCTGGATTTTTCTGCCCCACCTCCAGCTTTTGTTTCCTGATTGAGTGTTGGGGTGAAGTTGCATGTTTCTAAGCAAGCTGACTAAAAGCAATATGCCTGCAAGTTTGACAGACGTTTTGAGGTTAACTGACAGCATTTGTAGAGAGGAAGCATTGGATCTGGCTGCTTAAGTCAGCTTTGTGAAACACGACACAATGGTAATGATTCAAATGTGAAGGTAGCTCTGTAGAGAGACAATCCTGAATTTCCATCTTTTTCTTGATTGTTCATGATGACTAAATATTTTTTCGTGGATCAAGAAAACAAAGCAACAGACAACCAACGACAACGAGAGAGTGAAGATAGATTTGTTCTCAGTCGTGGCCAGTGGCTGCGGTGGCGGAGAACGGACCTGCCAGAACCGCCCAGGTTTACAGAGAGTCAGCGAGGCTGTGGTCACCAGGGCAGCAGACCCTTCCTGGCAGCGTTTGGAAGGGAGCGATCAGACCCACAGCTCTGTGTTGCTCTAGCTCATCACAAAATCAGATGCCGACGTCCTCAGGTCAGTGCATCTGGACCCACTGGTGGTCCTCAGCTGTTTTATCACAACACTGGCTCCAGTTCCCGCCTGCCTCTGAGCACATCTCGCCCCTCCGCAGGCCGCAGGCTGGGTGAGCAGGAGGAAGGAGCAGCAGTTTTGTTCTCAATATGGTGACCTAGAATTCTGCATAAAGGGCGTGGGTTGGGCTGCTTGGCCATGAGCAACTACAGAGCAAGATCAGCGGAGACGACTCGGGCGAGGGCTCACGAGAGTCAGTAGACGAGGCACGGCAGTGGGTGTTCAGTGGGGCCTGCTGCCAGCGGAGGATTTTCTGATTCTGCGCGTCTGTAACGTGAAACTGCCGTCAGTAGGCTGTTACCCTGTACCGTGCGTGCCAACAGAAATGTATGAGGAGGAGGAAGTGCTCGTGCCATCATGCGACTGGGTTGGGGAGGCAGGAGGGAAGGAGACAGGAAAGTATATTTTGTGGCAAGTAAAATGGAGATTCTGAATTGGCTGTGCTGTCACTCATCGTCTGCGGTGACCCTACCGGTTTAGGGGTGGGTATGAAGTTCAGTCAACCGGGGATCCATCAGGTCCTGGCTTCTCAATCCTAGAAGTTTCGGACTTAAGAATTAACATTGGGGTTTCGGCCCAATGTGGATACTCAAGCAGCTTTGTCAGACCAGCCGGGATGCTGGGCAGGCAAACCCTAGGGGCCGCCCTAGGGTTTTAAAGGAAATGGCCCAGAGGCCCCCTCTCCTTATGTAAGGCTGCAGTCTGTGCGGAGAGGCACGGAGGGCAGGAGGGCCTCCAGAGCTGCTGGGTCGGTGCCCCAGAGAGTAAGACCTGACGCCCTGTCCTTCCCACCGCTCCCTCCCCTCTTCCTTTCTTCTCTCTCCCTGCTTTTGACCTTCTTTCCTCAGTCTTCCCTGCTTTTCTCCTCTCAGGGCCTGCAAATCCCATCTTTCATTTTAGAAACAGTGCTGGCTGGAGCGATTTGTGGATCAGCAAGGGATGCATCCTTATATGAGTCTCAAAGTTTAATGTGCACGAGAATCCCCTGGGGAGCTTGATAAATACAGAGTGCCAGGCTCGATGGCAGAGATTCTTGCTCCTTAGCCTGAGGTGTGGCCCGGGGTTGGCGTTTAGCAAGCCCAGGATGCAGTGATAGCTGACTGCACTTAGAAACTCAGTGCCTGTCCTGGGCTGGCTCCAGCTCCAGGAACACTGAGGAGCCTCCCCGCTCGTGTCTGGGGCTGTGAAGGCAAAGCAGCAGCCTTACAAGCGTGCGAGCGCTTGTGTGTGAGTGTGAGTGTCCTCATGTTTCTCGTCACCACTTTGAGAAATCACAGAAATGATCTTGGGTCGGCACTCACCACCCATAGGTTGTAACCAGGACCGGACGTTGGAGGCAAAACAAGTGGGTTTGAGGAGCTGAAGTTCCATGTTCATGAAACGCCTTCGGTGCTGGTATTGTGAAGGCCACAGGGTGAGGTCAGGGCTCTGGGCCAGGTGTCCAGGAGCAGAGCAACTTTGCGGGTGGGGAATTAGCCAGCTTCCTGGAGTTTTCTTACGCATCTTTATATGTACAAAGAGAGAGCTTCGGAGCAGGGACCGGGTCCTGTTTGCCAAAGTGATCCTTCCTCCAGTGCAGGAGCTGACCGTTGAGGGAGGCCAAAACTCTCTGCTCTGTGTCTGCTCAGTGCAGGACTGAGCCACGCTTCCTTGGCAGCTCATCTAAGAGAGCAGAATCCACAGGATGTTATTTCAGTTCCATAAGTGCTGCTAGAAAAATTAATTTTCAGAATAGTTCTTTTGTCCCATAAATGATATAGATTGGGAGCTAGATAGACGCTTTCCTTAGAAGACAGAAAATACAAAGAAAATTAGTTTTTCAAAGAACTAATTCATATGTATACCGTCACGTGCTACATAACGACATTTTGGTCAATGATGAACGGCTTATACGACGGTGGTCCCATAAGATTGGTATATACAGCCTAGATGTGTCGTAGTCTGTACCATCTAGGTTTGTGTAAGTACACGCTATGATGTTCCCACAACGATGAGATCGCCTAATGACGCATTTCTCAGAACGCGTCCCCATTGTTAAGCTATGCACGACTGTATGTAGACAGGCACTCAGTGCTCTGGGGGCCGGGCATGCACAGGTGAATGGGACAGGCGTGCAGCTGCCTGGACAGTGCAGGGGCCTGGGATGTGGCCTAACAGGCATGGGGTGAGGTGGGAGCCGGGCACGAGCCAGGTTGTGGGGGCCTTGTGGGTTGTGCTAGGAGTTTGGATTTTTCTTTTTCAAGTGCAGTGAGAAGCGTTAAAGGGCGCTTCCGTGAAAGCTGGACTAGACGTTGAGTATTAAATTAAGCTCACTCAGGTTAGAAGTTACAGAGACGTGCTCGGTTTACCTCTGGTGATGGGGGTTTGTTGCGGGGCTGACAAGGAGGTGAGGAAGCCCAGGGAAGCCCGGCACGCAGGCTTCACGGTCCCTGTTCAACATGCACGGCCTGTCTGTCCAAATGCCCTCCCAGTCCTCTGACTTCCCTGTTTCTGGGCACTTCTTGCTTCCGCTGTGCATTTTCTGCTTCTCCACACTAAGATGCTCACCTGCCTGCTCATGGCTTCTGCTGCTTCACGGCTTCTGTTTCCTGCCTTCTCTTTGTATTTCGTTTGGCTCCAGGGCCACTCTGCCATCTGAATTACTTTCGTTGTGTCTTCTAACGGAAGACTGAATGGTGGAGGCCAGCCAGTAGCTGCCTTTTACTCCTTCCCCGAGACTCGGCTGTCAGGGTCACGTGGTACAAAGCACAGCTTGCCGTGTAAGCAGTGGTGTGGCTGATCTTTCCTCGGGAAGCTGTGGACGGGGCTGGCTTTCAAGGATCCATGGTGTTTTCAGGATAGACTGTAGTTCTGCCCTTGTTATGGCCCTTTTCTCCCTTCCCCACTGAGGGATGAAATTAGCAGTGGAATCTAGGCTGTCACTATTCCTCTTTGGTCAGTGAGAAGCTTGCCCTTGGGTGTATCCTCACAACTAGCCTTGATGGGGTAACCTCCATGACCTTTGCTTTACCAACGACACAAACTTGAGGTTGGAATCTGTGACTTTGGCTACAACATCAGGTTGGATATCAGTTGGACTCTTAAGTTACACTTCCGAATACAAGCAAGTCTATCTGAGCAAGTGGATCTTGCCGAGACACCCTGGCAAAACTCAAGACCCTCTGGCCCCCAAGCAGGTTTTCCAAATCAATTGGGAATGCCAACGCTATTAGGCTCCCCTCGCCTCTGTTTAAAGCAGTCATTTTAATAGGCTGAGTTCGGTGGTGGATTTTGATTTTTATTAACGTCTCCCCCTCGCCTCCACTCTGCGAGGCCAGCCTGGGTAACAATGTTCTCAATGTTGAAATGTGAACTCTCCTCGCTGGGCTTGGCAGTGTCTGCTGTGTTTGAGTTGTAAGCCCCGTTATGCTCCTGGACATCCATGGAGTAACATTAGCTGTGAGATAACGCCTAGTTCCCATGACAATGCTGATCTGGGCCACAACCATACACTGAGTCAGGGTTACATGAGATCATGAGGGTGGAGCCCCCGTGAGTGCAGCTAATGCCCTTGTAAGAGTCACAGGAGAGAGCCTCCCTCCTCCGCTCTGCCCTCTGCCTTGTGAGGATGCAACAAGAGAGAAGTCAGCAGTCTGCAACACCAGAACCTGACTATGCTGGACTCTGATCTCAGACCTCCAGCTCCGGACCTGTAGGAACTAGATTTCTGTTGTTTATGAGCCTGTGGTACTTGGTTACAGCAGCCCGAGCTAAGACATGCGTTACCACGTCAATCCATAGAATACCATGGAAGCTTCTTATAGAATAAGCTTTGCACTTATAAGACAGTATAGACTGATTAAATTTCCTTTATCACAAGGCAAACCAAAACAATGTTGATTATGGGCCCTTCTTTGCCAGCCATAGCTTTCAAAATACTCCTAAGGCCTTAGAGAGCAGAAAACACTCTCCTCCCCTCCATGCCCAGACGGACCCTTAACTGCCCAGCCGCTTCGGCTGCAGGCAGCGTGGCTCGGAAGGGGAGACACGTCACCCCGTTCTCAAGTGTGATGATTTGTGGCTGAGAAGGGAGAGCCTGCTCTCTGAGCCACATGCCCCCTGGTGCAGGCAGGCTAGGGAAAGATGAATGGCATTATAAGATGGACATCTGAATGTTTCATATTAAATTAGTCCCACAGAGTGCCCAGAATTCTCATTCCATAAATCACAAAGCAAAGTAAACTCACTCCCAGGTTCGACTGCTGTGACTTTGGCCTGTGGTGTCATAGATAATCTGAGAACAGTTCAACATTTGTCTGGAATAGTAATAATTTTCAGCATATTTACTCGGGGCATAGAGGTGACCCAGACTGAGCTCTGTTGCCAGAAACAGCATGTAAATGGGAGTCGCCGGTTTAGGAGGTTTCCAGACAAGAGCCCCTGCTCCTCCTCCACCTGGCCTGAACCTGCGTGGGCTCCCTCAGGAGCTACTGGGTACTGGGCCCGGATGGCCAACCTCCCCGCAGAGGGCAGGCGCCAGGACACTGGGGCGCGCTCACCCCGCACTAGATTGCAGCTGCAGCACGATTTTGAAATCCGCCTTCACCTCGTCTCGGTCTGAGCATCACAGAGCTAGCAAGGACCGGGATTCCACTAATGCCACATTTCTCTTCAGTGACAGAGGTTGATTCCGAGAATACTTTACACATCCTTGGATCTATTCCGGATGTCCATTCCTGGGCTGGCGCTGTGACTCCTGGGACCCGATAGAATGGAAGGAACATGGGCCTGTGGTCCGTGAGACCATTCGGCTCCATGCTAACTGGCCGAGGGCCCATCTGAGCTGCTGCTCCTCTTCTGTAGAATGAGGACAGTGGACGCTTCCACCCCTCGAGTCCCACCCAGCTCTCAAAGTCTGATTCTGATTCAGGACTGAGATGCGATTGGGCACCAGGAGTTGTGACAGCCAGAATTCCAGAATTCCAGCTGGCCCAGGAGGCCTGTCTCTCACTTGGTAGGGCTTTTCTGCAGGTGTTCTAGGACCTGCATCTTGATCATCTTCCCCCTCAGAAGCCCAGTGCAAATTTTGCCAGAGCGACGGAGGGCGGCCACCACCCAGCCTCATGGTGGTTCCTCCAGGAAAGATCTCTGGATGTGGCGTCAAAGGCCTGAACTGAGCCTGCCTCCTGCACGGATGGGCGAGTCCCTTGGTATGAGGGTCAAATAAGGTCAAAAACGTGGAAGCAGAAGGGCACTAACGGCGAGTGTCTACACGCTCTGGGCACCAGGTTGCACTTTTACACTATTGTCGGCTGTTTCATGCCACACTCGTGACCACCCTCAGAAGTAGATAGACTTTCACATTTTCCGAACGGGGAGCTGAGCTTCTGAGAGGGGAAATATCTTGCCTGAAGCCACCAGCCAATACGTGGCAGAGCTAGGATTTGAACCCAGATCTGCCTCGCCTCAAAGCCTTGTTTTGCCATTACACTACCCTAGAAACCCGGTAAGTTTTCCACCTGTAGAAATTTTGGGTATGGTTATTGGTAATTCTAAAACGGAGTTCACTGGATGCCTTTAAGAAATCAATTGGTGGTTTAGTTGCTGGCTACTTGGAGATTTCCCAGATGACAGCTAAGGTAGGCAGAGCGCGCCACGCGTGGATGGCCAACCCAAAGTGGGAGGGGCACTGCCGTGTGCCTGGAGAGACCGTCACCCGCTCTCAGGACACAGCAAGCCCTCAGAGGTCACGCTTCTCTACCCAGTGGCTGTATTCACCATGAATTCATCAGCTAGGGCTATGTAACAAAGTACCACAGACTGGGTGGCTTACACAACAGAGGTTTATTGTCTTTCAGTTCTGGAGGCCAGGTGCCAGGGGATTGTTTTCGTCTGAAGAGTGTGAGCACGAGATTCTTCCGTGCCTCTGCTCTAGCTTCTGGTGGTGTGCAGACAATCTTTGGCGTTCCCTGGCCTGTAGAAACGTCACCTCAGTCTCTGCCTTCATCTGCATGTGGCATTCTCCCTGTGTGCCGTCTGTCTCCAAATGTCCCGTTTTTGTAAGGACACCAGTAATGTTGGATTAGGGGCCCACCTACTCGAGTATGACCTAGTCTTAACTTATTACGTCTGCAATGACCCTGTTTCCAAATAAGATCACATTCTGAGATTCTGGGGGTTGGGCCTTACCTCAACATGTGAATTTGTGGGGGGACACAGTTCAACCCACGACAATCGGTAGGAGAAGCCCAGCCCTCACCCTGCGAGCACTTCATCTGAGCACAAGTGCTCCCCCGGTAAAGATCGCAGCCCTCTTTCTTGATGGCACGTCTCTTTCCCTTTTATGTCTTTCTTGGTTCTTACTAACACCAAAGTCTGATATTAATGGACAAACCATTAAAAAAAAAAACACTGTTATCCTATGAGGTAGAGTGAACGCACTCGACTGTAGAGGAGGAAGACTTATCGATCAATTTCAGTTCAACCTCGCTTGTCCGACACTTTGCAGCGAAGGAATGTGTTTTTATTGCCTGGCCAGATAGTTCAGATTTCCGGTCAGTCTTAGTAAAGACCCCTTTTATAACATTGATAAAATTTTATCACAGAGCTATGAAAACAAAATTAGATTTCATAACTCACCTCAAGCCTTGAAGGAGATGCCTCTATAAATTTTACAAAGCTTATCAAGTTTTAATGCACCTATTCTGATAAGTATTTTTCAAATAGCAACTTCTACTGAACTTCATATGTATGTCTGTGTGTATATAAATAGGCATATGTGTGTGTATCTGTGTGTGTATATATATATATTTTTTTTCTCTTTCTACTTTACAGGAAAGAAAACTTTCTTCACCTACTTGTAAACAGAAGACTGTGACAGAAAGGCCAATTATTTAGATTGCTGAAGACTGAATTTAAGAAAATCCACTTCTATAAAAAAAAGTCTGTGTAGTTTATTTAAAATTTTATTGCTAAAATTTATCCTTCAAAATAACTGGGTTTTTCATGGGCAGATTTTGAAGAATTACCAACAGTGATAAATCAGCTACAGATTATCTGTAAATTCATAACAAGACACAGCATAATCAAGGGCCATGTCTCTGCGTTTCATTTCCGTCAGCTGTTCAGGAGCTGCAATCCTCAGAGTCAAGTCAAATCCAGCTACAGTGGGATAGTCCCTTCTGCCTTTCAGAGGGAAGAATCACTTCTCAAAATCGTGCAAATGAAATAAACGTCGTGGTTTAAACTTGGCATCTTGTAGTCTTAAAATGTATCTTTCATGATTTTACATTTTGGTTTCAAATGCCAGGTTTGAAGAAACATCCAAAAATTATGAGAAGTTACTTATAAATGAATTGACAACATTCAAAACATTAAAAGACTATTGTAAAGGAGTTCTCAAACAATTTGGTTCATATACTCCTTTGAGAATCTTTTGAAAAGCCATAAACTTACAAAATGCTCATACAAAAAAAATGTTTTTTTCATACCATTTCATGGGGTTCACAGACCTAGCTGAAAAACATCCTTGAACTTGCAAGTAAAGAACTCCTGGTATCACAGAAGATATTTCTGATTTCTATAATCTTTAAGGTTTAGGGGACATAGGATCCATACCTCTCAATGAAGATTTCAAAATACCTGTCAGACGAAGCAGATTCTTTCACTGTGGTAATAGATTGTCCCGTTATATTCAAAAACAATAAACCAGGAAGATTTTGTATCACCTTTGAGCATGATTTTTGCATCTATGAATCTTAAGTGGGAAAAGAGAAGGAAATACAAACTTCCTCAAGCAGTGTTGTTAATTTTGGGCATCCCTTGGAGAAAATATTTATTACCCGGAAGATAAAAGCTAATTAAGTTGACATTTCTTATAATCACAAAGCCATCTTACTTGCCACTCTCACAGGCAGAGGGAGATGTGTGCTGTTCCCCTTTTGTCTGTCGGGAGAATAGTGGGGACACTGACGAGGCTGGCAGGAGAGTGGATGTCCGGCCTGCCTGACTTCGCTGCTGCCTGGCCGGAGGAAGACAGTGCCTAGGGTTGGAGCCCCCGGGCGTCTCCACTGCTGCCCGTTCAGTCGCTTACGGAAGACAGGGATGTTTCCTAACAGTCGGATCACTTTCTGATCATTTTATTCCAAGTCATGTCACAACTACCCTTCAGTTAGTTTAGGCAAACCTGATTGTGCTCTCAGAAGGATGTTAAAATGCCTTCTAACTCCCTTTAAGGTATCATTTAGAAACCTCCTTAAAACTGTTAAATTTTTATATGAAAAATATACTGGCTCATGATTTACTGTTGTTGTCCTTGGCACAGTTCTCAGATTAGAAAAGGAGCCGTAGTCGCCCTGCAAAGCTGCCCAGTCTGTTCTCCGCTTTGTTCCCAGAGCCCAGCACGGGGCCAGCAACACAGTCGGTGCCATTAAATCTCTATTAAGTATCAGACGAGGAGCTGAGTTTCAACCCTGGCTGTGCTTCTTACCACCCGTGGGACATATCTATTTTCTCATCTGTGAAATAAGAATAATATTTCCTTCTACCCCCAAAAAGTTGTTTTTAGCATCAGATGAGATAAAGCATGGAAAAGCATTTTTCCATCTTTTCTGAAAAAAGGAATAGTCTTCAAAATTAGGTGTATAACCTCATACACATATAATAGAAGTAAGTGCCATTGTATCATTGTAGGAAAGAAGAGATCACAGACTTAGAACGCAAAATAATGCATTTTATTTTATAGAATTTTAATGCTGAAATGAAGGAGGGGAGTGTTCGGTCACCAGAAGTGAGGGGCCACCACACCCCAAGCCTTAATGCATCACGATTATGAGCTTTCTTTAATTCACGAGTACTACCGGAGGCATCTCAAGCTGCCTTGCGACCAGTGGGGGAGGGGCGACATGCCAATCGTGTGAGTTGGGGAGCAGGGACCTTCTGATCCTCAATGGGGGTGGGGGAGGCAATTATTTTAAAGGGGTGCTGATAGCATACATCTATAGGATGTGGTTTTGAGACGTATTTGAGAAGCAAGGAATACCCAAACCCAGAGGAAATGGGCATCGTTTCTTCATGTAACGTGTATTTATGGAATGCCGGTGACGTGCTAGCCCTGCTCTGGGGGCGAGCCCACAATGTGGAACAGGCCAAGTCTTAGTTCTCCTGGACCTTACTGGCCTAGTGAGGCCCACAGCCAATAAACAGGGGAACTGAGGGACAGGTAGGATACAGCTGGTGACAATGCTGTGCAGGGTGGAGGGACAGAGAGCAACCGGACCATTGATATTCAAGTGCACACAGCTGTCAAGAGCATTTGTTGAGTGAGTAAGTAAATGGTGACATAAAAATATCATTGCAGAGGATAATGGCTGTAATTTGCTACTTTGGAAGGGCTCTTTTATGGAGTTTGGAGGGGAGCAGTGGACTTGCAGTTGGTAAACAAGGCGAGACCTTTGCTGCACTCATGAAGCTGTATGACCTTGGGGCTCGCCTGTCCTATCTGCGTCCTGATGTAGATGGGCAAACAGTGTCTGATCAGCAGAAGACTCCCCACTCTCAGATATGCCAGCTTCGGACAGAGGCTGAGTATAACCGAGTGTGTATTTATTTCTCTGTGTCCCCAGGAGAGCATCATCATGACTGTCACTGCCGCCCCCTCCACCACCACCGGGGTTATCGGGAGGGCACGTGTTGCCCATAGGTGGGCAAACAGGTCGGGGCAGTGAACATAGCTGGAGGCTGCCCTCCGGGTGTCGGGCACTGTGCTGGTCCTTCACATCCACTAACCTGTTTAGTCCCCACGGGTGTTATTAGCTCCATTTTGCAGATCTGGAAACTGAGGCGCTGGTGTTCAGTGACCGGCCTGCGGTCCCAGCTGAGAAGGGCGGAGTGAAGGCCTGGGCACCAAGCCCCACAGTGCCCCTTGTCCGTTTATTCACTGACCGCATGCCACCTGCTGAGCGCTTGTTGGGTCCAGGTCAGTTCAGCATTAAGCAGATCACCCTCCTTTGTGTCAAGAGAAAAGAAAGTGCGCAGAGGAGGAAAAAGGAAGGTGAGCACCAAGTGTTCCCTGGACTGAACTCAGGAGAGACGACATTTCTCCTGCTGCCACTCTGAGCTTCTGGAATCGCCCTGTCTGCTCTCTGTGTGAACCTGGGCAAATGTGCAGCTTACATTTTCTCTGTTCCCGGAGCTTTCAGAATCCCATGGCATTTGGTTTAGATTAAACCCGTTGATCCAGGCATTAGACTTCGGCTTCAGCACAGATGATCCCGTCTCCATCTCCTCATCTAACCTCACTGCTTGTTGCCGTCCCAGCACACTTGTCTGGGGCAGGGGCGCGGCAGGGGAGGTCACTCAGGCTGAGGGGCCACATGCACACAGCACCGTGTCTTTAGCATCCGGAGGAGTGGATTCGTAAAACCCAGTCAGAGCCTGTGTATGCATTTATATAAGCCTTTTTTTCCGCCTGAATCTGAATTATAGAGATTTTAATAGCTCCAGTAATTAGACAAGTACGTGGTGAGCCCCGTTGTGTTCCTGTAACACCGCACTCCCCAGGGCCCCTCCCTGCTTGCTGGGCTCCCTGGGGCCTCCCTCCTGCTCCCCCTCGGGGAGCGTTTCTCTTCAGAGAGCTCACTCTTCACCCCGGTTTTGTTCCCTCAGTCCCCGGCCTGGGTCTGCTCTCTCAGGGGCTTCTCCGTGCCGCTGTCCTGTGTAAGAGGGACAGAGGTCTGGCCGTTCGTTTGCACCCCACAGGGCCCAGCGCTGCACGGCGGTGCCGCATGGCTGAGCACGATGAGCCGCACAGGTGGGCACTTCAGAGCTGTTTACAGTTGAGTCTGTTTACGGAAGTCTTCATGGGTCAGTTACTGACCTACGAGGAAGCAGAACAAAAGGTCTAGATTTACTGTCTTAAATCAGGAACTCTTCTGCAGAAACCTGCCTTGCTAGCTCCCTGACTGGCTCCCAATTTTTTTGTCTCTTGTGTTTGTAACTTCCTATTCTCCATAGTCGTGTTTTACTCCATCAGCACAGACAATGTCCCTGCAGCTGCTGAGGGCTCAGTCTTGAGATGTATTGGACATCTTGGATTTTTCTTATTGTTGTTTCCTCTAGCACTACAAAAAAAAAAAATCTTTTGGTTATTTGAAATTAAGGACAGGACATGCTGTATTACTAAAATAATGCAGTTTATCTAAGCAGGAGATTGACTTTTTCCATATGCATACACATATTTTCCTAGGGGCTGTCAGAAAGCAGCTTTCATCACCATTTATTTATTCATTTTTTTTTTCATGAAGACATTTCCAAAGGAAGACATCTGGAGTTTAGTATCCTGAGGTCACCCTTTCCTATCCAGTCCCCCCACCAAAAAAAGAAAAGGGAAAAATCTGTATCAACTATCTTTCCTTCACAAGGACCTGAAAATTGTCCCCTGAAAGCAACTCTAGAAATCTATGAAGTTGGCCTCCAAACTGCTTGGAAAAGGGAAAAAAAAAAACAGTGTAAAATCAAAATCTTATAAGTGAGTTCATTATAATTGGCAAACGGATGCTCTTGTCTCTCCGAGTGGGAACCAGACAGACGGAAGCAGTGGTGTGGCCATGGTCGGAGACCCGGAAGGCAGCGGTGTTTTCTTTTCTGCAGAGACAGATAAAAGGATAATGAGCTGAGGTATTTTTAAAGGATTCTCACGGTTTACAACTCAAATAAATCTAGTTTTAACATACCTGTGTTTTTAGGCTCTAATGACTAGAAATGTTAAACTGAATATTTTGCTTGAGCGGGAGAGATGAGGGGGTCGATGAACGAGTTAGCATGCGTAGAGCTTCCCCTGGAGGGGGTGGCTAAGTCTCATGCGACACGGTCTTGTCGCTCCTTGCAGAAAGGCTGCCCTGGAGGAGCCCAGCGTTCAGCATTCTGCTGCTGGTCGAGATTGGTTCCAGATGTGGGAGGCGAAGGCTGAAAGGGGGTTGGAAAATGGAGTGGAAATGAAAAACCCCGCAGGCCGTTTGAGTGCTGCTGACAGACGAGTTGGGTATTTTCAGGTAACTAATGAACTTGCTGGAGCTTGGAGAGGGCCCAGTCCAGGGGATACTGAGTGGGCGGGAAAGACCCGGCTGAGATGCCGTGGCGGCCCCGTGCACCGAGAACCGGGAAGCGTGGAGTCCTGATGGTAACCCGTAAATGCCAAAAGCTGAGACATGGCTGCTCTATAAATGAGCTGAATTCCAGTCTTTTCCTAAAGCCAGTTCATAGGTTGTAAATACATGTTTGTTTGTTTTTAACTTCCTATTATTTGATTTATCGTGACTATTTCGTTATTTGAAGAAATCTCGTTCGCTGTGTGTAGGTCGGTAAGGCAGGATAGTAGAGTGATTACGAGCACAGATCTTGAGTGACCCAGACTTGGGTCTAAATACCAACTCTGCCACTTCC